CCCCCCTCCTCCTTATACCCAGCGTATAAGACGACCCCGACTTTAACCCTAGGTTTTCCTGGGTTTAAACATTGTCTTATACACCGGAAAATACGGTACTTATATGAAGGTACAGTTGATTATAATCTAAATGTCACATAGGAATGGGATCTGGCAAAAGTAGGGTGTCCTACTAAACAAGCATAAATTATTATTTTTCTTCACTGGGATTGGTTTAATGCAGCATATGTTTTAGGACAGGATTTCTTACTGCTGAACCAGTATTAGATTTTATACATTTACTAACATTACTACATTAGAACTCCTTTTGAACATTGTACTGTGCCTCTTCTCACATGCACTTACTTCTTTTATAGGGAGCAAATGGCAACAGAAATATCAGCACTTTTGTCTAGGTGGGTGTAACAGGATACCACCGGTAAATCAGTTTAATCACCACATGAAAGAATCATGAGCTAAAATAAAAGGCAGTTCAATTCATTTGAATTGCTTTGAGAACATGAATAAATAACTTCAAATCAAGCTTCAATCATTGTACAAATTTAGTACCAGTTTGTAATTAGATTATTTCTTTTTCTAATAATTTCACCATTTGTTGTATCAGTTGCATGAAGAGACATTAATTTTCAGTAAAGTTCTACAAGATTGTGGACTTAGATTATTTCAACAGATTTCCCCATTTTTTTAAAAAAACCTGTATTTCGTATTGTTGTTACTGTTGTTGTTGTAGTAGTAGTTAAACTTTACACTCCACCATTTCACCTTTTCCTCAAAACAAAGAGTTAAGGTGGCTTTGGTATGTATTTTGAGATGGAGACTCTGTAGGTCTCTTTTGGTATTACATTTATGTATGTGGCTATTGAAAATCAGTTAAGACAAATCTATTTTAAAGAATGATGAGATTGGAAACTTACTTTGTTGACAGCATCCTTGAACTCCTATTAGCCAGAATGCTAATAGACAGATGCCATATATTCAATAGTCTTGTGTGAATAATGTTGGTGTTTAGTATTCTTTTCTAGGAATTCAGTGAGGCCTTTATGAGCAGCTAATTAAAAAGTTGTCTGTCTTCCTACCAGAACAGATGTACCCTTGTAGCTTGAAGCTAAGATGAAGCATTACTTTCTTTGGAATATGTTTTTTTTTTTTAAAAAGAATATCACCCAACAATTGAGTAAATAATTGATGTTAAGCTCTTTATATATTACTTTTTAATCCATAAAATCTCCTCCTTTCTCTGTTAAATTCCCAAGAGTTGTTTTCTTCATGCAATGCAGAAGCAAAGCTTGGATTTTATATAATGAACAAATCTAAACAACTGTCTTAGCTCTTCCTTTTGTCTGTGGATGATGAAAGGGAGGGGGCTTTAGAGTTAAATTTCTAAATATCAGAATACACGGGGGTATAGCTACAGGGAAGTGGAGCACTGCCCCCTCAAATACAAAAATTTCCTTCAGTTCCCAAATTGCTAGCACTGCAGAGAATGAGACATTGAACTCTTCATTTGCATTCCCTTGGTATTTCAACTGCTTCTTTTCTTTGGATGCTCAAACTGTATTTCTAAATGATCAACTGAAGTTTTCAGCTAGTGCAGTGCTAGAGATTTGGGGACTGAAAAAAAAATCAGTGGGGGACAGAATTTTTATTTCTGGGGTGGGCAGTGCCCTCATTTCTCCCCTCCCTTCAACAGAGCATACTGCTTGAGAATCAACGCAAGGAAATAAAGGGGGTTTCAAGTTTGTGATGTACTATAGGCAGGTGGAATCCCTTGAAGATGAGATTATAGGGGGGAGTTTTTTTAAAAAAAGTTGAACTATTGTTTGAAAGGTGGAAAATGAACTCACTGTGTGATTGCACACTTTAGAGTTGCTCTAAAATAATCCTTGGATACTAATTAATGTGTTTATATTTGTCTCTGCAGCTGCCAGAATGTTCTGACTTTACTTTTGCATGTTCTTGCAAGATGACCCCTTACTCTCATTCTTTTACTTTCTTTAGCAGATAGCTTGGTTTATCTTCAGGGTCTTTATATATGTGTTCAGTGCCTTGAAAAATGTCAGGCAAAGTTCCACACCAGTGAACACTGGGTTCCTCTATATGGTTGAAGTTGTGCATGATTAGGGGCTACGAGCTGTTCATAATGTCAAGGAATTTCATGTTTCCTTTGCCTGCCTGAAGCATTTTTCCATATTGAAGAGAATGAGGCAATCTGTAGCCATATGGATTTTCCATGTTCATATTGATTCATTCAAGATTTCAGCACCACTTTTAAGATACTCATCTCTTCAGTAAGATACTTGTATTTTAGAGAACAAAGAATTAGGGAAGGTCTGGGTACGAGGGTTTTTGCTTGCTTATGTGAAAGATCAGTTAGCCAGTGGATTTTGGAAGTTGCACTAAAAAAAGTCACAAGTTCTGGATTCAGTGACCCATTGTGTTGTGCCATTTCAGTCATCACACAGCAGCACAGCCTCTCAAAAGTGAGACACAAGTCAGTTAAATCTCACTCACAACTGACAAAGG